AAATTGAAATTGTCAAAAATGGAATGCATAAACATCGATATCCTAGGCATTAGCTGAAAAGGACTGTTATTGGCCATTTTGAATCTGATAATCACACGGTTTACTATGGTAGGAATGACAAATTGAAGAGGAATGGCGTCACTTTCATCATCAAAAAGAACATCAAGATCTGCCTTGAAGTACAACACTGTCTGTGATAGGATAATATCCATACACATACAAGGAAGACCAGTTAATATCACTATTATTCAAATTTACTCATCAACCACTAAAGCCAGTGATGATGAAATTGAAGAATTATACCAAATTCCTCAAACATTCATTCAAGATATATTGATAATTACTAGTGATTGGAATGCAAATGTTGGAAACAAAAAGGAAGGATCAATAGTTGGAAAATATGGCCCTGGTGATAGAAATGATGCTGGAGAACACTTGATAGAATTTTGCCAGATCAATGATTTCTTCATTGGAAATACTTTTTTTAAACAACATAAAAGATGGCTATACACATGGACCTTACCAGATGGAATACACAGAAATCAAATTGACTACATCTGTGGAAAGAGACAGTAGAAAAGCTCCATATCATCTGCCAAAACAAGGTCAGGGGCACACTGTGGAACAAACAGGCCATCAATTTCTCATATGCAAATTCAGGCTGAAGCTGAAGAAGATTAAAACAAGTCCATGACAGCCAGAAAATGACCTTGAATATATCCCAACTGAATTTAGAGATCATCTGAAGAACAGATTTGATGCATTAGACACTAAAAACAGAAGACCAGAATAGTTGTGAGTTGGCATCAGGAACATCATATAGGAAAAAAGCAAAAGGTCAATAAGAAGACAAGAAGAAAAAGACCAAACTGGATGTCAGAGGAGACTCAGAAACTTGCTCACCAGAGTAAGCAATGGAAGAAATGAGGTACAAGAGCTGAACAGAAAACTTCAAAGGACAGCTCGAGAAGACAAAATCAAATATTATAACGACATGTGCAAAGACCTGGAGTTAGGAAACCAAGAGGGAAGAACATGCTCAGCATCTCTCAAGCTGGGGGAATTGAAAAAACAAAACAAAACTGAAGCCTCAATTGAAGGATTCCACTGGAAAATATTGAAAGATGCAGAAAGCATCAAAGGAAGATGGAAGGAATACAGTCACAGTACCAAAAAGAAATGGTTGATGTTCGAACATTTCAAGAGGTAGCATATGATCAAGAGCCAATGAACTAAAGGAAGAAGTCCAAGGTGTCTTGAAGGCATTGGCAAAGAACAAGGCACCGGGAGTAGATGGAATACAAATGGAAATCTTTCAAAACTCTGACACAATACTGGAGGCACTCACTTCATCTATTCCAAGAAATTTGGAACTGGTCAACTGACTGGAAATTTGCCAAGAAATTTGGAACTGGCCAACTGACTGGGAGAGATCTATATTTGTGCCCATTCCTAAGAGAGGTGACCCAATGGAATGCGGAAATCATCAGACAATATCACTGATATCCCATGTGAGTAAAATTATCTTAAAGATAGTCAAAAAATGGCCACAACCATACATTGACAGAGAACTTCCATAGGTTCAAGCCAGATCCAGAAGAGGACACGGAATGAGGGATATCATTGCTGACGTCAGATGGATCTTGGCTAAAAACAGAGAATACTAGAAAGATATGTGTTTTATTGGCTATGTAAAGGCTTTCGATTATGTGGATCATGAGAAGCTATAGACAACATTGCAAAGAATGAGTATTCTAGAACACTTAATTGTGCTCATGAGGAACCTTTACATAGGTCAAGAGGTAGTGGTTTGAACAAAATAAGGGAACACCAAATGTTTAAAATTAGGAAAGTTACATACCAGGGTTGTATTCTTTCACCATACATATTCAACCTGTATGCTGAGCAAATAATCTGAGAAGCTGGATTATATGAAGTAAAACACAACATCAGGATTGGAGGAAGACTGATTAGCAGCCTGCAATATGCAGATGATACAACCTTGCTTGCTGAAAGCGAAGAGGACTTAAAATACTGATGAAGATAGAAGACCACAACCTTTAGTATGGGTTGCATCTCAATGTAAAGAAAACAAAAATCCTCACCACTGGACCAATAAACAACATCCATATAAATGGAGAAAAGATTTAAGTTGTCAAAGACTTCATTTTGTTTGAATCAACTATCAACACTCATGGAAGCAGCAGTCAAGAAATCAAAAGACGTATTGCATTAGGCAAATCTGCTGCACAAGACAAGAGCAAAGATGTCAGTTTGAGGACTGACTCAAGCCATAGTATTTTCAATAACCTCAGATGCATGAGAAAGTTGGTCAGTAAATAAAAAGACCATAAATTAATTGATGCATTTGAGTTATGGTGTTGGAGGAAAATATTAAAAGTACCATGGACTGCAAAAAGAACAAACCAATCTGTGTTGGAAGAGGTACAACCAGAATGCTCCATGGAAGCCAGGATGGCCAGACTTCATCTCTCATACTTTGGACATATTGTCCTTGGAGAAGGATATCATGTTTGGTAAAGTGAAGGGTTGGAGAAAAAGAGGAAGACCCCCAACTAGATGGATTGGCACAGTGGCAGCAACAGTGGGCTCAAGTGTAGCAATGATTGTGAGGTTGGCACAAGACCCAGTAGTGTTTCATTCTGTGTGCATTGGGTCTCTCTGAGTCACTGTCAACTCTATGGCACCTAACAACAACAAATGACTATAAATGGAGTCCTGGTGCCACGCTGTAGGATAAGCATAGGACCGGAAGGTCAGTTTGAACTGCCAAGTTGATGGCTCAAACTCACCAGCTGCTCCTTGGAAACCCTAAACAGGGTTGCTATGAGTCAGAAATGACTCAAAGGCACTTAACCATAGCAATACCAATAAATAAGATCCTGTTTGGAAATAGGACTTTATTTGTTATGTTAATTAGGTCATACCTCAGGATGGGGTAAAAGTGGGGAATGTTGTTGTTAAGTGCAGTCGAGTTGAATGACCCATAGCGACCCTACATAGGGTTTCCAAGGAGCAGCTGGTGAGCTTGAACCACTGGCATTACAGTTCAAACGACTGCAGTCTGACGCATTAGCCCACAGCACAACACCAAGGTGGGGAATGGAGGCACTAAATCTTCTCACTTCTAGCCATAAAAAGAGCAAAATAGAGACAAATGCATCTATAAGGATTCCTGGTTGTCCTGATGTGGCACTGTAGGATAAGCACTGGATCTCTCATGCTAATCACAATGTTGGCAGTTCACAGCCATCAGCTACTCATCGGAAACCCTATGCAGGGTTGTTGAGTCAGAACCGACTCAACAGCACTTAACAGCAACAACAACTAACAGCTGAAATAGAAAAGGACCTCCACTACTAGCCTCCTAAACGGTGAGAAAATAAATTTCTGTTTTTTAAAGCCACTCACTCGTGGTGTCTTTGTTGTTATGGTGTTGTTGTTTGTTGTTAACTGCGACAGAGTCGTTTCTGGTTCATAGAGACCCTGTGTATGGTTTTGGAGGAGCAGCTGGTCAGTTTGAACCACTAACAAAACAAAACAAAAACAGAGGGACTAGAAGCAAATACTGTGGAATGAAGATGCAAAGAAGAGATTGTAATCTTTGTAATGAAACGATGAGTGTAAAACTGCTGTTCCCCCATGTAAACTAATCACTCAATTCATAATGAAAACTTTCAAAAAAAAGAAGCAAATACTGTTGAATGATGATGCATGGAGGGGATTGTAATCATTGCAATGAAATGAAATATGGTAGTATGAGTGAAAAACCGATGTTCTCCCATGTAAACTATCACTCAATTCATAATAATAATAATAATATTAACAGCCAAGAAAACCCTATTGAGCAGTTTTACTTTGTAATTCATACATCTTTAATCAGTCAGAATTGACCCAACAGCAATGTATTTACAGAGCAGGAGTTCCTCGATGGCACAATTTGGTTACTAACTGAAAGCTTGGGAGTTCAAATCCACCCAGAGGCAACTGGGAAGAAAGGTATGATGAATTGCTTCTGAAAGGTTACAGCCATTTGAAAACCCTATGTAGTTTTACTCTGAAACATATTGGGTCGCCATGAGCCAGAATGGAGTCCTGGTGTGGCTCTGTGAGTTAGTTAATGCGCTGGACTGCAAAGTTGGTTTGAACTGCAGGTTGGTGGTTCAAACTCACCAGCCACTCCTTGGAAATCCTCTACAGGGTTGCTATGGATCGGAACAGGCTCGACAGCACTTAACAACAATGAGCCAGAATAGACTCTATGTCAACTTCGTTTTTGTCATTTTATTTTGTTTATACAGAGCACTTAGGCTGTGCCTGAACAGATACAGGTTAGTGCTGATGGCAATGATAGTTAAATGTGACCTCATCAGGACCCAAAGCATTACACTAGGTCTTCTTTGCGTTAATAGACTTAGAAAAACGCAGAATATTGGCGAAATACAAGATAACACTGTTGTAATTATACAACCCTAGCGCGTAGTAGTCAAGCTCTTGGTAATCGCTGAGCTACAACCCAAAAGGTCCGTTGTTCAAAACCAGCATCGGCTCTGGAAGAAAAGACTTGAGTAATAAAGATTCCAGCTTCAGAAAACGCTGTGGTTCGGAATCATCTCTAAAGCACACAACAGAGGTGTAATTCATTTTTGTTCTTAGCCTTACTCCAGAGCTGAAGAGAGCGCGGTGCACTTCAAGTCTCCGCTAGGGGGCAGAAGTCATACTACACAGGGAATTACAAAACAAAACAAAACAAAACAAAATAAAAAACTCCAATTTCCCCCCCAAAACTGTGTTCCTCCTCATGTAACCGAATCCTCTGGCTGTGGCGTCCCAGACGCCCGCCCCGACCCGTCGACTCCCGCCCGAAGGCGGCGCCCCTCGCCTACTCCTCCACCCCGTGCGCCGCCTAGTCTGCACAGCCCGCAGCTCCCCGGCCCAGCTCAGCCAGCACCTCGCCGCCCCCGCCCTTTCCCCTGAAGATGAAGGTTTGGCTACTACTAGGTCTTCTGTTGGTGTCCGAAGCACTGGAGAATGGTGAGTGACTCTGGGCAGGGGGCTACCTGGCTCGTGCCCCGACCTTAGCTCCGCAGCCCCGGTTGTCTTAGCCTCCTTTTTCCTCTGACCTTCCGGGTCCTTGGCGCCACTCCCTGCCCCGTGTACCTGACCCCTTCCAGTAGGGTCTTCCGTCTCCCTCCTCCCTCTCCCCACTTCTCTGAAAGCCTCGGAGGAAAGTGGGAGCTACTAGTTGGTCCCCGACTCTTAGGCTCCCGCCCGAACTGCTCCAGTCTTTAGGAAAGTCCTTGGTTAGCAAGCCGAGCATCCTCTGCCAGCGCCTGGTCCAGCCCCCACAGTGTCAACGTGTCGGTCTGAGAGATGGCACGGGAGCAGCGAATCGTATCCATCTCCTTGCTGCGGTTCGATGCAGGACCTCTGCTTCTGAGAGCTTTTCGTATTAAGCAAGGCAATTGATGATTCTATTACAAAATTCAACAAGATCGTCTAGGTTTTTAATGAAATATTTCTGTGTATTTAATCTCAAAATGAATCCAATACCGAAAGCGGTTACGCTTCTTATCTGGTTAGATACGGTGAAAGAAAATTCATTTTTTGTATAGCACATGGGGCTATACACTCGAGGTAGTTTTTTAAAAGTTTGCCTGCCTTAGGCCTACCCTAGACACAGATAGACATATAGTACCATAGTGTTGTTGTTGTTGTTAAGTGCTTTGGAGTCGGTTCCGACTCACACTGACCCTGAATAGGAGTGGTTGGTGGGTTTGAACTGGCAACCTTTCTGTTCAAACTGACTTTATGATCCAGTGCTTGTCCTACAGTGCCACACCAGGACTCTAGATAGGTACAGAGAGAGAGATGCCGCTACTGTGTGCCTTTGAGCCAGTTCTGACTCATAATGACCCAATATAGGATTCTGTCTGTTGCTGAGGAATTCTAAAGGAAGTTTGAGAACACCAGGATGCATGCACACAGTTAAAAAAAAAAAAAAAAAATGCACTGCATAAATACCACTAGTTGAATAAACAAAGATACAAATAAAGTGAGAATGTAATGATAATGTGTGTATGTGTATATCATATGGTGGTGATTGTGTGCCGTGGAGTCAGTTCCCACTCATAGCAACTCTGCATGGGGTTTTTGAGGCTGTAAGTCTTTATGGGAGTAGAAAGCCTCATCTTTCTCCCACAGAGTGGCTGGTAGATTCGAACTACTGACCTTGCAGTTAGCAGTCCAGGTCATAACCTACTATGATACCTGGATTCCTTGTGTGTATTATGTATGTAGTGGATTATTCATTGGGCTGCTAACCAGCAAAGTCAGCAGTTTGAATTCACCAGTTGTTCCTTGGGAGTAAGATGAGGCTAAGTCACTATGAGTGAGAACCAACTCTACGGCACACAATCACCACCATATAGTATACACATACACACATTATCATTACATTCTTGTTTTATTTGTGTCTGTTTATTCAACTTGTGGTATTTATGCAATGCATTTATTTTTTTTTTATTTTATTTTTTTTTTTAGCCATGTGCATGCATCCTGGTGTTCTCAAACTTCCTTTAGAATTCCTCTTCAACAGACAGAATTTTTACTTAGTTTGGGTTGAAAACTGGCTTCTGCTATTATGCAACCTCACCCTGGAGCCAGCTCAACCTGGCTCACATTTTATCCTCTTCTCAATCCTGACCAGTTCCTTTCTTTTCTGTGAAATTACAAGCATTTGCCAAAAAAAATTACCACATTTTATTTTGCAAGTCCAATATAGTTGTAGGGATTGAAGTGGAGCAGGAGAATCCTTAAGCTTAGAGCCTTGCTTTATAAAGTGCTTTTGCTGGGAGTGGGGGTAGGGTGAGGTGGCAGCAATTATTCTTTGCCAGAGAAAAGTTGGCATAAATTTAGTTTGTAAAATACAGTATTAAAAGGTCCTGGCAGAGCAAAACAAAAGCTCCTGGCAGGTTATCAGTATGTGACTGCTGAAAAAACAGAAATACAGTATTTCGCATCATTTAAAAAAAAAACAAAAAATAGAGCAGGAGATGGCCATGCAAAATAATTTCGAACTGCTCATTCAATTGGTTATACAGCTCACCCAAGATGCCTGCCTCAGAGGCTCAGGATAAGCAACAAACAATTCCATTTCCTTTGAATGGATTCTAATTTATGGTGACCCCATGGGTTAAGAGAAGGTGGATTGGCTTTACCCTCTGCCTCCTGGATCTCTCCAGGCTATGTTTGCAGCAAATTATGTGAATGCTCTCCAGCATCCATCTAAACAGGCATCTGTTTATACATACATATATATACATGTTTTCATTGCTTAAAAATGAAGAATGATCAATGTTTCAGATCATTTAAGATCTATGTGTATTCTCTACAAAAGCAATATTCTGTCTTTAAAGACAATAAAAAGAAATGTTTAAGGGCAAGAGAGAGAGAATGGTCACATGAGTGTGAGAAATCCTGAGAATTGATGGGTATTCCTGCAAAAGGTTGTATATGCCCTGTTTTATGATGGTCATCCTCCAATGGGGAGAACAAATAATAAGTAAGTGAGGATAAAATTTCAAGAAGTAACAAGTGGCATGAAGAGCTAGGTTAGGAAAGTGGGGAGAGTGAGGATGTCGTTTGGATAGGAATTGTCAGGCCTGCCTGAAGCCAGGAAGTGAACCTTGTGGAAATCTAAAAGTTGTAGGCCAAGAGCACAGGGAGTGTACCAGCTTGTACAGGGGCTCAATGTGAAGAATGTGAGGCAAAAGACAGGAAATGAGGTCAGAAGAGCAACTAGAACAATATGATTTAAACACACACACACACACACACACACACACACAGTTCTCAGTTGATTCTGATTCACAGTGGGCCCATGTGTGTCAGAGTGGAACTGTGCTCCATAGAGTTTTCAATGGTTAATGTTTGAGAAGTAGATCGCCAAGACCTTTCTTCTCAAGCACCTCTGAATGAACTCAAACTTCTAGCCTTTTGGTTTGCAGTGGAATACATTAACCTTTAGCACCACCCAGGGGCTCTAGGACCAGATGACACTCCATGTAAAGCCTTGTTAGGCATGGCAAGACTTGGAAATGTTTTCTGAATTAAAGTGAAACTTACTAGAGGACCCTGAGCATGGCTTGCTCTTGATCTGGTTCTGTTTTCAAAGGTAAGGGTAACCAGGGTGGAGCAGGTAGCTTACTCTTTCAGTAGGTGAATGACGACTTGGCCTCAGGCAATAGCAGTGATCCTAGGGAGAAGAAACTGTGTTCACCTTTTGTTTGGAAGGCAAAGCCAAGATCATCTGCAGCTGGGTTGAATGTGGCATGGGAGTGAAAAAAAACAATCAAGTATGACCCCAAGGGTTTTGACCTGGGCAACTATGAGGAAAGAGTGAATTTAATGATAAAAAGAACTCTCGAGAAGGAGCAGGTCTGAGGTGACAACCAGAATTCAATTTGGACGTTTTAAATTTGAGATGCCCGTTAGTCTTCCAAGTAGAGATGCAGAGTAAGCAACAGAATATTTAGGTCTGTGGTTTAGCGGCAAGGCCAGGATTGGAAAGATGGGCAGCTTTCAATATATAACTACTGTGCAAAAGCTAGGGAGCAGTGTGAAGCTACTGAGAGGACTGAGTGTAGCTCAAGAGGAATTTTAAGAACTGAGCTTTGGGGTCAGGCAGGAAAGGAAGATCTGCCACTAAAAGACTAAGAAACAGTCTGTGGAAGCCAGAGAATAAAGTGTTTTAACAAGAGTCATAAACCTGAGTAACCATGGCAATGAAACCATATATGATAAGATGAATGTAAAACTAATGTTCTCTCATGTAAACTATCACATAATTCACAATTGTTGTTGTTGTTGTTATGTGCTGTGGAGTCGGTTCCGACTCATAGCGACCCTTTATAGGGTTTCCAAGGAGCAGCTGGTGAGCTTGAACCACCAACCTTGCAGTTCAAACGGCTTTGTAGTCTGGTGCATTAACCCACAGTGCCACACCAGGACTCATTAGTGGGATGAAGTGGCTGATATTAGCCATTTTGAATTTAACAATCATATGATTTACTGTGCTGGGATGACAAATGGAAAAACAATGCTGTCACATTCATTGTCAACAAGACTATTTCAAGATCTGTCTTGAAGTACAATATTCTTTATGATAGGGTAAGGCCCATACAAGGAAGACCAGCTAATGTCACTATTATACTAATTTATTAACCAACCACTAAAACCAGTGATGATGAAATTGAAGTATTCTACTAACTTCTTCAGTCTGAATTTGGTCAAATATTTAAAAGATGCATTGATAATTACTGGTGATTGGAATGTGAAAGTTGGAAACAAAGAGGAAGGCTCAGTACTTGGAAAATATGGGTGGGGTGATAGAAATGATACTTGAGGTCACTTGACCAATAACTTATTCATGTAAATACCTTTTTCAACAACATAAATAGCAACTCTATACATGGACCTTGCCAGATAGAGCAAGCAGGAACCAAATCAATATATGGAAAGAGACAATGGAGGAGCTCAATATCGTTAGCCAAAATAAGGTCAGGCGCAGACTGTGCAACAGACTATCAATTCCTCATATGCAAATTCTGGTTGAAACCAAAGAAAATTAAAATAGGTACACGGAGTCAAAATGTAAGCTTACAATTTTAGCTTTTGAATTTATAGACCATCTAAAGAACAAATTTGAATCATTAGACACTAATGGCAGAGTATCAGAAGAGTTGTGGGAAGACATCAGAAGCATCATACTGGAGAAAGTAAGAGATTATTAAAAAAAGACAGGAAAGAAAGAAAAGACCAAAGCAGGTGACAGAAAAGGCTCTGAGATGTGATCTTGAACTTGGGGAAGCTAAAGCAAATGGAAGACCATCTGTGAGCAGCTTTGGGAGGAAGGCCTGACAATGCCAATTTGTGAGAACTACAAACAAAGTGTGATTTCTTCTTTTTCCCCACGCTCCCCTGGTGACTGGAAGTGTGGCCAGCTCCCACCCTCATACACCCCAACCCAGGCC